CATTCCAAGCACAAACTTATCCCGTCTCGCATATCCGCATACAGAAACTATTTGGTACCCTATCTTGCCCGGATAATGACCGACAAGGAAAGTGTTCGTTCTGAGCTTTCCAATGCATTTGGTAACCAACTCATATCTTTGTACGTTTTCGTATCCCACTTTTTTCCCCTGTTTTTAACAGAATTGTAACGGTGGTCTATTTTTTGGCTGAAAGCTTGTAGATATATATATATGTATTACTCGCTAAAGCTTGAATACAATACAATACAATACAATAATGTTGATAGAGAATCGTATGGAGAATCAGAAACACGAAATGATATGGTCCGTTGTCGGAGGAATGCTCTAAGCCAAACAAACACGCAATCTTGAATGTCGTAACTGTGAAGCTTCTGTGACAAGATTAGGTGATTCACTTGATCAAATGCTTTCGCGAGGTCGAGATAAATCACATCCACCGCACCCCCCTCTTGTCGACTGTTCAGGCCCATTCATCTCGAACAGGAGGAAGCAAACTGGTTGAGCAGGATTGTTTTTGCTTGAACCCATGGTGAACTGTCGAAAGAATTTTGTATCTTTCTCGGTGTAACTTCAGACAGCTTGCCACAATTGATTCCATGACTTTCGATCACACCGGAAGCAGGGTCACAGGTCGATAGTTAGCCGGGTTACTACGACAATCATCTTTCTATGTTGGTGAAATAACTCCCTGTTCCCAAGGTTGTGGGAGTGTTGCTTGGTCGGATGTTCGTTGGAACAGACTGGCTAGTGATTGGAATATGTGATGCACGAAAGCGCCAAGGGAGTTTTCACAAACCAATTAGTTTTGTTGGGATGTTTTTAAAAGTAAATTTTACTTGGTCAGTGAAAGATACGGAGGATGATACACCTGTAGATCTTTAGCTTATATTGCAGCAAAAACGTCGAAATGCTGTCGAAATGCACTTCAACTGCTTCCGTTGGATTGGTTACTACTCTCAATGCCGGTATACCAAACTTTACTTGTCGAATTGAGTTAACTTGCTTATACGAAAGCTTAGGGGGCCAGAGATAAATCTCTCGGCTAGTGCATCTTGGTGCATCAATCAGCTTATCCTCACGTATCAGCCTGAAGCATACGATAATTATTCCACATGGTAATTGTAAAGATCAACCCAGTTTGGAAAATTCAACACACCATTTGATTCAACATTCACTCCCTTTTATGTTATTGCTCTCCCTCTGATAGACCTCCCTGCCCGTACTGTAATGAATGTACATTTGTTGTTTATCGATCACCTTAAATCATTGCCCTCAGACAATTGCATATTCACTCTTTAGCAAACCATTTGACCTCAATCCATTTAAGACACTTCAATGGACACGTTAAAATCTGTTCATCCACAGCTGTCAGCACTGGTGAAATTTATTCGCACATGATATAACCCAATGTCAGTATTCCAGCATTATTCTAACCGTATTCACCCCACTTCCACCGACTTGGTGACATATTTGATCTTCACAGCATGATGCATTTGGTGACGTACTGATACGAGCAAATCTGTTCGGCTTTGTCGGCTCCTGTGATCCATACCGTCCCCTTTTTCTTCCGTACCTAATAGTACACGTAGATTACCGAACTCGTGTTCTATTCGGCTGGACTTGGGGGATTTGTTTTCTGCGCGTCACTCTTTCACTACTAGATGACAATCCGATACAGTAACATCTGGAAGACATCTATCTACTTGCTTGTGCGGCTTACAATAAATGAATTCTGGAGGTTAGATTTGGTGATTACTCCAGTCTTAATCACTCATGTCATCAGGTTTGTAAGACTGTCAGTAAATCTCTGCCAGGAGACCAACGGCTCCGGTTCTTCGTCATAGGAAATCCGCTGATTAGAGAGTGTCGAGTTTTTGTAAACGTGTATAATCTACGGATCTGTCCGTTTTATCTGGGAAACTTTGTAGAATAGAAGCGTAACAAAAATACATTTCAAGGTATGTTCTGTGTGATCTCTGCGTCCTAGGTGGGGAATTCACATCAAAAGATTCTACCATCAGCTCACTGTGGGCCAAAACGAAATTCAGTATGGATGATGACTGTACCTTTCCAAACCTGGTGGTCTTATTCATTTGGTTGTACAGTAAATGCGAGTAAATCAGTTATCAGAATAATGAACGGACGGTTGCTGATTTATTGAAATCGGGCCAGTTGAAATCACCCATTAAGAGAAAATGGCTAAATCTTTGCATAAGAATGTGTGATATAATTTTCAAAAGAGTTTCGTTGGTCATCTCTAGGGATAAGGGGAGATGATCAATCGAACAACCATTGTGTTTGGATACAGGATGGTACAGGATGTCGAAACAGGGGTGGATTTGCCCGTAATCAAGGTTGTTTCGATAATAGAGTATAGAGAGAATATCACTATCAGGGTTAGAACGATCGCCTCTGAGCGGGGACATCTCTGATAAGGACAATTTGGATCCCAGAATGTCAGCTGCGAGCTAAGTCTCTTTAACAACAATAATATTCCATTGGCATGATACAAAACGCGAATTCAGCTGTGGATATTTGTCGAGTAATCCTTGAGCATTGGTGTACAACAGTTTAGATCCTGCCAGTGTAGAAAGCCTCTTGATTAGGAAGTGATTTCTTGGTCGACCTCTTCACGGCCGGCCGGCTACCATTACCATTTTGGCAGAGATCTGGTACTTCGAGCCACCGGTTGTGGGACAGGATTCGGTACTTGCATTGAGTGATCTGATATTTTAGTAGGGTTCTCGAGATATCGATGTGTGTTTAGCTCGGGATTGGATAAGGGTCTCAAACGTAGTTCCGGTGGCCCGCTGTTTATTTTCGTTCCCGTTATAACCGCAAGATGATGTTGGTCATGTCTGGAGTGTCAAGGGTAACTTTTATTATCCTCGGACCGTTACCATGGTAATTTGGCGAACAGAGAAGACGACTGTCAGAATGAATCACCGTTCTCATCGGTCGTTGTGATAACTTTCAGGTTCATCTGACTCGTCCAACTGCGGGACATCATGGATGAGGACTACCTTCCTATCCTCTTCCATCCGTGCTCTCATTAGATCGGACTGATGCTGCATTCGTTCCGTTCATGTCCTCCATGTCCTTTTCATCTTTCAAGGTCACCCGGGACGGTTTGTATCTCTCGGCATGTAGCGGCGTCGGTTGGCGCATAAGTCTTGTGAGGTCCACAAGTAAAAGTTTAATGCCCATCTGCGTGCGCAAACCTATCCACTGTTTCATCTCTTCTTGCAGTCATTCTCTCGGTGGTTGCGTTGTGGGTTCAGGTATATTTATGCACTATCGATGGCCTTAGTGTGCATGCAACAGGTTTTGTTTATGAGATGACCTATTTCTGCTCAGGAGCTGTGACCATATCAATCGTTACAGTGGCAACCATACTTATGTCAGCAGGGGTTATGCACTACGTTGAAACGGTACAGATAGAAAAACATCTTGGACGCTCAGTCGGTCACTGGATTGGGCTCGCTAAGGAGAATCGTGAAGCTCAGCCTGGTCATCTTTTGTTCTAATATTGAAATTTTTAAATTAGCTTTATTTTTCACAGCTAGCAGTAGCTTCTCAAACCAATATGTAATATCGATTATGTAACTGATGAACGGATTTTTAGCAATCACTACGAAAACTAAAAACGATCCTAATCTTATTCGATAGATTAGTGCATGGGGTGTGAATCTATTTCCAGGGCCGTATGTACATGTCATTTCCGTCCTGACCTCTTTTCCGCAGCCCGTTAAGCCGCACGCACCCAAAACGCAGCACGTGACTATAGTAGCGTTGATCAAGTTCAGTCACCCACTTTTGATAGACTGTGAACGACGAGATGGAAGTGAGTTGACAAAGGTCAAATTACTCGAAGTCGACCACATTGAAGAAAGCTTCCCTCATCGTCTTTCATCACTTATGGTGATATATCAGCTATTTATTCCGACTTTTTAATCTAGAGACTACTATCAGAAAACTACACATCATATGAAAAGGACAAATTCAATTGAAAAAGGTTGATTTCAGGTATTGTTCGCTTACCTGGTGCGCGATTTCATGAGATATTACACTGGCAACCTTTTGCTGACTGGATGCTGTTCCGGTCTTGGGATCCCACAGCATAGTTGCCTCACGATATATCATAAGACCCCAGTTTTCCATAGCTCCCGCAGCAAAATCAGGAACAGCAATCATGTCTGCCAATCCGTACGTGAAATGGAACGGTATGAAAGGGGATTATACTCGTTTTATTTAGTGTTTGTTTATGAAATAACTCATACTGAACTGCACTTATGCTTAGTGCTTGTTTCGCAATCTGTATCATGCATTAAATTTTTTACATGAATGCAGTTAAACCCCGGATTAGTCAGTCATGGGAATCGATCAGGGTAATTGGAATTGGTGCGGCTTAAACAGTAACAGATGTGGAGATACCTAACACCAGAATGAGCTGTCGAAAGTTTTTTTTCGATGTTTGATTCATCATTTTGTCTACTGACAGTAAATAGAACGCTTGAAAACAAGAATGTAATGGACGAGAAACGTGCGCGAGAGATCATTGTGTGTGTGTGTTTGTATTTTTTGTGTGCCTAAGCCACACTGCGGGCAGTCAACTTTTGCAAGCACTGGAGTAAGCACATTTAAGTTAAAAAATCATACATGCCAATGTACATGATAATGTTTACAGGCATAGGAACCTTTACGATTAGACGAGCAAGATACGGTATAGGTGAATTGCGGCAATCGTTTATTCGAGGTGAAATTTGGCGGCATTGGGAGAGTGTTGCATAATGGGAAACGACAAGGTGTCAGTTCTGTGTGCAATGAATGGTCAGGATCTGTGAGAATCCCCTCAACAAATTTCACACGGGAAGTTGTGATACTCTGAAAGCCTTAAAGCTAACTCATTCACAGGAATAGAAGAGACGCGGCTGATAATGGTTAGACCGCCGAGTAGGAATTGGAAATCCTGTTTGAGTAAACCAGGAAAATAACTGGGGAACAGTAGAGCAAGATGGGGAAAACACATTGATAAACAAAAGTAGAAACAACTGACTGGGATGCGCAAAACTGCCTGAACTTTCGAATTTGAAATGATAGGCGTCGCAGTTTACCAATGCAGTTGTGGATGTGAGTTGATCAATGAGAAGTCTTCTATCGCCTTCTAAGGTTCTGAGACGCTTTCGAGGCTTTCGTTTATCTTCACGCCCATTGTATTATTTTGGGCTTTCTAAATAGTCTATTCTTGCATTCAATTGTTTCTGGAGAACAGGTTTTCTTGCACGAAGCAAACACGAAGCATGAACTAATAAGACAGGAAAAACAGTACCCCTATTTTGATCTGGTAAGGTCTAATCAACAGTACAAATCTGACGATCTAACTCGGGACCTTAAAGATCCCAGGTCGGAACCTTAGTTGATTAGACAAATTTGGTAGGTTAATTGGAACCGAGAAGTCATTGAACAGCAAGCATTCCACACGTTGTTTGTTAAGTCCATGTAGAAAATTTCCCACTCGAATTACAATGTTTTGTTCCATTGATACGTGCCCACCCACTAAGCCACATAGGACGTGGCAGATTCTTCTGCAAGATAAAGTTTCTGAATTTATCTTCGCTGTGATACAACATGTGGCAGTCGTGTTTGTGTAGCCATGATCACAAATCGCACAAATTGTGTTCCACTTTTGTCAGAGACCATATTGTCTTTCGTTCGCGGAAAGCCGAATCTACTCAAATGATTAATTTTATGTAGAGCTGTAGCTTTGTACATCATTTTGCTGGGATCTTGATTGTACAGTTTTATTTCTACAACCAATGGATAAATGAAGGTGACAGAGTTACCCAAGGTCATCATAATTTACGAATACAGACGTGTTTGACGAGATTCAGATGCACTGTATTTCTTCATTATGTCTATAATGTTCGGATGTTACATTTTGACTTATTTTAACTAGCAAAACAAACCTATGAATACCGTTGCCCTCAAATATAACGGAAACGAATATTGACGAACAGTAGTGAACAGTGCTCACAAAGTGACGTTTTGGAATTATACCCGTTTAATGTTTCAGATGTGTACCACGTGACCGAGCACGGGGGCATTTGGAAAGACGATCCTCTGTGACCTTGAGGTCAAACGAAATAGATGTGTATTTCAAACATAACTAGCTTGCTAGCCTGGATCGATGATCAAAGGTTGTTCTAATCAAGAGAAGATAGATGAATGGCACAACATCCTAATGATTGCTCTAAATCGAATCGGCATGAAGTTGGTTGTTCACCGAAACCTCGGTTTTCAATCTTTTTTTTCGATGTTGACAGAACAACGAATTGGATCAATGTGAAAAGAAGCGATGTGATGCAGACTGAATGAAATGTTCACTTTGGTTGACCCGAAGGTGATCGGATTCGATTACAACTGACTAAAGATCAGAGTGGGCTATAGATCTGAAACCGTCTGTCAGTATCGGCGAAGTAATAGTCACTCAGAAATGGACAGTTTTCATGCAAAGACTTTTGAAAAAAATAGAAGTGGTATGTATTCGATTGCACCGCCCGTCATTTTAGCGAGCCGGGAGTGTTTTGTAGTTATTCGTATGCCATACAACTCAATTACAAAAATAGGTCTTAAAGTACAAACAGCTGCCAATAAACGAGCAACTGTCGTATCCTGAACATACTATTTATGATTGGATTGTATGTGATAAAAAAGGGAAAACGTCTTTACGAAACATGTATATACTTCCGATTCAATTCATTTTTGTATTTATGAAATATTCCAACAAATGAGATGTAGTTGAGATGTTCGATTAGATTTAGAACCCCTTGTTATTTCATTATCTGATCCAAAAGTCCTCCCACAGGAGATAATGGAATTTTTGAGCCGTTCACACCAATGTTGTCTAGGTTATTACCAAAGATTCATCTTCAACTATTAATGAAATTGGCATTCATTGATCACTACAGAATAATTCTTATACCCGGTTTTTCAAATTTAAAATTCTTTCATAACTATCCGATTATCAAGACATTTTTCTTGTGATCCACTGTAAATTTTGAATGTCCGTAATGGGATGGTTTCGGTATTTTTATTTTCAAACCTTTTCAATTTGTGTTACCAGCCAATTTAAAGCGAGCAAGAGCACTTTTTCGAAATGATGATGATGATGATGATGATGATGATGATGATGATGATGATGATGATCGTGAAGATTATGCCAAAAGTGTCATTCTTGTTGAATTGCATCTATACATGACAGATTTGTTCAAAGCACTGGTTCCATGCAACAATACTGAATTGACCACATGGAACTCAGTGTTACCAAATAGTAATAACAATTTGTCACACCGCTAAGATCTATGTATCTGTGTTTTCAAATCATCGCCACATTTAGCAAATCAAATTGAAGCAGCAAACTGAACGGGATCGTTTATTCACCCATGTATTTTTACATCAAACGTCACAGTTTTTCTGATGACCGGATTGAGGAGACACGCCATGCAATAAAACAGATAGAAAAATCGGGAGTAGAGAAGGGGGTTGGGTGATCGATCTGGCATGAGCTTTCTTCTCCAACCAGTGGGAGAAGCCATTTCGTGTGTGCAAATCCCTTTGCATCCCCTGCCCGTGCTTATTCTCATTCGCGAATCGAGGCTGATCTTTCGGGAAATCCGATGCACGGGGTTGTTTTTTTTTCAGGCACCATTTGCTGTCATCCACATGACTGATACAGATTAGCGGTGAACCCATGTGTATGGTAAGAGGCAAAAAGGGGATTAAGCAAAGTTAGTTTGCTGTGGATCATCCCCGCGCGTCCTGCCCTGCCCCGGCCCGCCCCGCCCCGGCCCGGCCGGACCTTGTTTTCAAACCGATCTGTGCGTGTGCTGAAATCGTTTGGCAAAATCGGATGAAGGAATTCTGATGCCCCAGATGAAGAACTGGATGTGTGTGTGGGGCGGGGGGGGCTGTTGAGTTCTACGATTCGACAATTGATCAGAATATTAAGGTTATTGTCGATTTTGCAGTTGACCACTGACAACTATATCGATCAAAAGAATCACACATTGGGAACAAAGTTCTTTGTGGAAATCAACACCGGAGTGTGAGTTGGTGTGAGTCAATGTTCTGGGTAGCATATTGCAACAACAACAACAACCATACAAGTAACTTGCCTGTTTTCTCGAGTGGATAAGGGACTTCAAAGTATTCTTCGAAAAACTGAATAATTTTCATTCCAGTTTCCAAGGCATATTTAGCTTCAGCAATCCTTTCTGGTCTTGCCCACACGGTAAACTGAAGATGATCCAATTGGAAATGTCGGTTGATGTGGGGTGGGTCGGGGACGACGGAGGCCGAGGGGGGAGGGGTTGGCGGTGAGGAGGGAGGGGGATTTGGCGAGAGAAACTGTCACTGACTCGGTGTGAAATTACAATGTCACAACAATGAAGACCTATGTTGAAACAAGATATGACTTAGCTAGCAATTTTCCTTTGCTTCGTCTTCTTGAGGCACCTGGTTATCTGAGGATAAAAATTGTTTTTTATGAGGTAAATAAATTGATCACTTTTCCACAAAATTGAAATAAATCACCAAACAAACGCGGTATCGTTTGGTCACATCAGACTCGCTTATACGGGGCAGCGTTTTGTTTTTAACCGGTGCCCAATGACAACTGCTCATCAGGACTGGACAAATCTCATTTGTTCATGACCAATTGTACATCACAACGTGGGAAAATAGGCGGTTTGTCACTGCAGTAGACGGAATCAACGGTGTGGGACAAGGAATCACCATGGGGAAAAACAGCCAAGACCACGTTGCATTAAAACGGGGCAACTGTGTGAAAACACTGGATACATTAGTCCTGGGACGTGCCGTATAAGTTCGCTCTCGCACACACACATACACAATGCTATCTGGTATTGTCTCAGGCAAATGATAAAGGCGACCAATGCAAAGTTCATGCCTCCAAATCCGCCAATTAGAAAATACGCTTCAATGAGTGATTTGGCTACCTGATACTGGCTATATTGGCGATTGGAAGTTCTCATTCCGACGGTTACGAAAGAAGAGTAACGGAATTTCAAACGTATACACCCGGATGAAACCCTGGTATTTGTGTTTCAGTTGAATATCATACAATAGTTTCTTATTTGATCTGCACCGTTTTTCTGCTAAAAGTTGATTGGATATCATCCAATTCTAATCATCAATCATGATCGATTTTCTTCCTGTGCTACTTTCTATTCGTTCAAATCCACGTGCCATAGGACACTAAAAGTCGGAGCTTTTTTATTGCTGGAAAACGTTCTTTTATATTTATGTCACTTGAGCGTCAGTCATTCGAAAAATGGCACTATGCCTTTCAGTTGCAGCGATTCACACAACACTTCTCAATTTTTATCTGGTCCACATTTTGGTCTATTCACATTCTTGCAGTCGAACCGGGTGAAATCATTCGATTGTATCTTTTCTCTGGTTATGACATAAAAGATTCAGTTCCTGAAGAAACTTCACTAATCTCCTTTCGAAATCTCTTCTCTAGTACACTACACCCAGAGACACGCTTATCACAAGAGTTCAAACTCTCATCTAATCAATATTGTTCAAATCTTCTTTGGTCGTGAACTGCCAAACCATTTGTAACAACTTATCAAACTTGGATTTTTCTCACTTCTATTAGTAAATAATGATTTGTTTAGATCGTGAATAATTGGATTAGTTCGTTCGGTTTTTTCACCGGGCACCCATATCGAACCTTATTATCAACAGTGCCTGATGCCTGTGAAAGAAAATCGAATGGGCTAATCCAAACAATTCATCATCTAAATAACTTGTTATTAAAACTTTTCTATCTCTTTTTTTTGTGTAACAGACCGGTCCGTGTGCTAGTCTCGTACACGGACGGATTTGGGTGAAAATTATTTAACCATGTTTTTAGCTGATTCCGTCACATATATGAAAAAGAGTCAAATGTTTCCCTGATTTGTCTTCAAACACACAAACCAAGCGCCGGTCGCGAAGCGATTGCCCTGATGAAACTCACATTTCGCCCTTTGGAATCTTTTCCAGTCATGTGAGCAAATTGGGATACGACAAACGCCAACAGATAGGTGGATGTGTTCACAGTCGGCTCGAACACATCGGCTACCCAGTCGTTTTCCAGTGGAATACTCTCCCGTAAACCCATATTCGATAACGAGTGATACGGTTTTTGTCTCAGAAGTGTCACCTGAAAATTTGAAAAAAAAAACAAACAGAACAAAACAGAAAACAAATATTCACATCCGCATATCTATGAACACAATCGATTGGAGTAAGGGTGGGAGAGGGCAGGACAGGGTGTGTGTGTGTGTGTGTGTGTGTGTGTTGGAATTTGACACTCACCAAACAGCAAATACCGTTGCATTCCATACTGTTTTCTTGATAATTGCTTGATCAAAGAAAATTCACACTGCTATTCAACTTTCAGTGTTTTGAACCAAAAAAACAACAAAACAATTGACGTCGAGAATATTATTATTATTATTCACGCTTTGCTATTGTTTGCTTTCAGACTTGAAATTTACTATTTAGTCGTAAAATATTCCCAACTTGTGATTGATTGCTGATTGAAAACAATTCATGGTTTGGCCTGATGCTTGCAGAAATGTTGTCGTGAACAATGGGTGGCTAGTGAACGGATAATGGTGAAATAATGACAAGTTTGTACTATCCCAAACAAATGGCAAGCTACGTGACTTTCGAAAATAATATTTTGGTCAAGAATTTAGAAAGAAGAGTGATGAATGTCAATGAAAATTATTTAAGTAGCTTTTTGTCATCTGGCTTCGTACCGTTGCTATTCTATGGTGAGCCCCTAGGTTACTGATCTCCATCAGTGAGCATTGAAAGCTCGTGATCCTAGAGTTTATAACTGGATTTTGCTGACCAATAGACAGAGAAGTGTTTCGTAAAACGGTTCACTTTGCTCCTGTGCAATGTTCTAGCTAGATACCCTCAAGCAAACACAAACTTCTCATTGGAAATCAATTATAACCTCGTCTATCTTCTTCCTCTGATGTGTGGGTAAACTTTGTTCAACAAGTGCATTGCATTAGCAGGACCATTTATCAAATGTGTCTCCTTTGAGCCTATTTATATTTAGTTATGGTAACAGTGATTAATGTGTGTTTTAAGTTGCATCATTCAATTCTGAGGATGTGAATTGAACCGGCGCTTAAACAAATCAACCCGGAGACGTAGAAAAGCCGTGCGAAACTCACAGCCGCACGGCTNGCTGACCCAATCTCTCCGTTGGTGATAAACATTGTCATATACTGACCGAGTGGAATGTGACCCTAAAAAATTTGAAAGCAGTGCACAGGTCTTTCAAGTTTGTTGCTGAACCTCTTCAGCTGTGGGAAACCAGTGACCCCACGGATTATGCACGCCCGAAACCTGATAGGCGAAATGCATGCTTTTGGAAAGTACCGAGTAAAAAGTTTCATTTTGTCTGTACATGTTTGATATATAGTACAACTCGTGTTCGCAAGCTTGGTGCAGGAATTTATTCTCACTCGTTTTAGCCGAGATCAACACAGTTTTACAGCAAATCCTATCTTTTATCGGCACAATATGTCAAAATAAATTCTTCTTACCACGGTATGTCACACGTAATTACGATATCGAAATTATGATATGTGTAAAGGTAAAATTTTTTCAATGAAATAGTTCTATTGGACAGCTAGCTATTTTGATCTGGTTTGGTCTTCTCAGCAGTGCCAATCTGTTTATTTGACTGTGGATCGAACCTGGAACCTCAAAAACAATCAAACTATCCACTGGGTTGATCTAACTGACATAGCACAACCCATCTTTGCGAGCCTAATGCAGGAATCGCACCTAGCACCTCCCCGGGATTCACACTTGGTTGGAAACAGTTTATCCCGATTAATTGGTAATTGTTACATGAAGGAAATAGCGGATTTGGTTTTCACCACGTGATAAATGTTGTCGTGTAATTGACAAATAACACGGTAATAGAAAAAGCTAGGAAGCAGCAGACAGCTGTTTCGGGTCTCAACGATAGTGTCTGCATTAAACTCACAAAGATGGTTTAGTGCTATCCTGTGTACCAGCAGAATGAAGCACGATCTGATCAGCTGCCCGGTGGCCGAGTGGGCAATGTTCGAGCGTCATACCCGTTGTGTCTCGGGTTCGATTCCCGGTCGCATTGATGGATTTTCCGCTACGTTGTTATCTCTTTATTTTCAGGTTTCATGTGTTCTTTAGCCACACGAATTTACCCTATCTTCAACTGAGTATCACAAAAATTGTTCTGTTTGAAATGTGCTCTTCTTACGTCTTGGTGAAACAACAGTCTACAGTCAACACATTCTAAAGCTAACCGAGGAACACAGACTGTCTAATCAATTTGAAACGTCTAAAACGTCTAGCTATCGAACATCGACAATCTGATCTGTCGATCAAACGATAACATGTAGAGTTTTTCTCTCCTTGTACTAGTATGACTTAATTCTGTTCAATCCGGTGTTATCAAGGTTCTTAATAAAAATCGGATGGGAATAAACTGAACAACAGTTGTTAAACTCCGAGGCTTACCTGAAATTGTGCTTTAAATGCTGGCTCGTCCCAGCAGGGGAATACNAAGATTTAATTGATGATCAGCCAAAATTGGATCGAATTAGTTGCTATGATATTCATGCAATACGACGAGACAGAGCTAAAGAGCTAAATCACAGAGTTCCTTCTGGGAATAAGGTGAAACGTGGAAACAACTTCAAAATTTGAAAGATCTACACCACATACCAAGCTCCTTCTCAAATAAAATGTACAGGAATTCATGCCAAACAATAATATGCGAAAAAAAAACGCATTTTGATGGCTAATTCGAAAATTGAAATTCAAAATTCTGTGATCAATAAAATTTAATCGTTAACTTTCGGAATGCACTTCGTGTGTTCCTCAATAAAATTGACTTACTTTTTTACCCCGTTCTCAAAGTATGAACTCAAATACCATCCTTTGAGCTCTTTCGTGAGTGCTGAACGGAATGCATCAAACCGGAGTATGTAGTAAGCATCTGTTTGCAGTTCTTCGTCCAACACAATTTGATACCATTGCAAATCCTCGTTGTAGGAAATGTTTCGAATCCCCAACGGATTTGACTCCGACTCGTTCGAGAATAGTTGAGTGAGCTAAAAACAGTAGGAATAGAAAACGGATATCCCCCCCCCGGGCAGGGTTGATGACGATTACGAATGTCAAATTTGATGACTATATATGCCACCAATCAGTGTGCAATCCAAGATGGCAATGAAAGTGCTTATTAGCTAAACAGACTGTCAATGTGTTTTACGGATATCTGTGTATTCGCGATCGATGCAGTGACGGGGTCCGAATTTATTTGAATGTGTATTTGAATTCAGAATGCTCGCAGGCACTTTTACATCATGAGCTGATGGATGTACTCCCGACCCCGCCCTACAACTAAACGAGTCATAAATTTACCAGGACAATGAGATTGTAACTTTTGTGGGTACATTCTCTGTGAGACTACGCATAGAAATGTGAGCGGAATATCTTTTATTAAACACCTAATTGTGAACACAGGCTCGTATTCAGTGACTTGATAGAATTGAATTTTTCATAAAGGGAATTCTTGTATCTCAGATATCCCAATTTTTTTTAAAACTACTACTACTTAAATTTTCGGAACATGAATGTAGATGTTTTCGTATCTGACAAAATACGAGTAGTCGCATTAGACGGAAATTGTGGATATTTAAAACCATCACAACGTTGCATATGGCCAACCAGTATCATGTTCGTAATGGAAGAGAATGAACATTGCAAAAAAGAAGCCAAAACTAAGAACCAGCTGCATCCAGGTGCAGGGGGAATACACAATACGCAATCAATCATCCTGCACGCGTCACAGGACAAAGAAAACACGTGTGTTTCGGCGAGTCTCAAATTACAATCTACTGGAGATAATGCACAATTTAAATTTTACGAAAATCTACTAATCAGTTCAGGAAATGTTAGATTTCGCTAATAGCCATAGCAATGTTTCCATGTTGGTATCTATATTTTGTTCCGGATGGTCTTGTTTTGACTCAAAAAAGTAGTAGGATAGTGCCGTACTTAAGATTTTGGTAGTGTTGAATAACGTTCAAAAATGATAACATTTTTGCCGATCTGTTGAACTGTACGTATTGAAACAACGTGAATGATACGCGAGAGAACTTTAATTTTTCTTAAAGCGGTTCGTCATTTTACTTGTTTTTGTAATAAACAGTAAACAAATGAATGAATGAATGAATGAATGAACGAACTAACGACTGAAAGAATGAGTAAATGAATGAATGAAAGGATGAATGAATGAGTGAAAAACGAGTGAATGCATGAATGAATATATCCAATGACTTAAAAATCAAGCGAAGCACATGAATGAAATCATGATTCTGTTTGCATAAGAAAGAATTTTTCCGGCTTCACATTATCCCTTTACTAATTTAATTCGTAATTCTTCAAATGATGGTGCCTAAGAATGATACTTATAAGGAGAGAATGACTGGTTGCTAGGAGTTTTCATCCGTCAGTATGAACTCTACCTGTGGAGGGTTGGTGAAAAACTTTATTTACATGAATTCCATGACCGATGTGGGGTGGCCAAAGGGGGGGGGATATAATTCTATTTCGTATCAAAATTATAGTCCTCAAAAAGTGATCTATGCTGAATTTTCCAATAGGAATGAGATAGCACAAGTGATTCAAATCTAACCGGGATTTGAGATACACATTTGTTATTGTCAACTTATCACCAGAACGGCACAAGTGGAAATGTATCCAAAAGCCGGTTAATTATAAAATACGCAAAAAAAACAAACTCGATTTGGAGCAAATGAATGAGAGCGAAATTTCACAATTATTGGAGCAATAGACTATCGATCAAATTTTCATTCCGATCAATCAGTAAAAAGGTGCCTATCCGTTTGGATGTAAACGCTGATAGGAAGCGGTTGGGTTGGTTGAAAAAAATTGCCGCATCCTTTGAAAACGAATAAATGCCAATGTTGGTAGCAGCTTTTAATACAGAGCGCGAAAAAATAACAAATTCGCTTCCGGAATGCGACAGGAATTCTCAATCTACTCAAAAAATCTCTCGATTGATTTTATATTGTTTTTCAAACCAAATCATTGACATTTGTGGACATATCTTGCCGTAATTATGTTGAAAAAAAGCTAGTTATTCGAGGTCGCATTTAAAATACTGGGCTATCGTGAAACACAAGGGATGGTGGAACCAACTGTGCGCCGTATGTTTTCACAATGCGCGATAACTAGTTGCAAATATACTCAGGCAAGAAGTGTCATCTTGTTGTTGCATTACTCGGTGTAAGATCGATATTACGATGTATCGCATGTCAAAGTGCCCGTTATTTGTATGTATACATAATAAATTCCGATAGGTGATCCATGGGAAGATTTGTTATTTGCGTGTTAACGCTATTCACCAACCAATAACGCAGACAATCAGTTGTGCAAGTACGTTGCTCGGTATAACAATTAAAGACTCTTGTTTTAAGAGCCACTAATCACCACCAGTGCCTAATGAAATGAAAATGGCCGCAGGTTTACAGCTTTGAGGGTTTAATAAAGAATGAATTGTCATGAGTCACATGGAGCGTGGTGTTGGCATTTAAAGCTGCTTTGAGGCAGGTTTATTGAAATGACGTTATTTGTTCGTCCAAAGGGTGTTTAAATAACTCAGTCTGGTTCAATACAATGTGTCTTAGATTGGCCCAAATTGTCTACCGAAAAGTGAAACCATTAACTTATGATATAACCGATAATAAACATTTCGGAGTGGAAGGTTTGATACTGAAAAGGTCTTCCTATACAGTATGTATGTATGTATGTATGTATGTATGTATGAGCCAGTGCTATTTTCCGAAGTAATTTTTCTCTGTATGACACCGGTAACTTAACCAATCCCAAATGATCGGTTATATTGGGAATGTTGATAATCGGTAATAACCAAGTGATGGAGTTGTAGTTGTCGGCATTGTTAGTACTCGGGTCATGATGATGATGATGATCATCATCATCATACTCATCATCGTTGTGAGTGAACATTTTTACCCCACCACATTTCAGAATAGTTCTGATCATCTATTTCGAACCTGATTGTACTTCCGCCAGGCAGCTGGTTGACAAGTACAAGTAAACCGGGTTTCTGTCACGAACACTACATGAATTTTATCTGACTGAATCCGCGAAGATGTGGTCCATCTAAGCCTCATTTGTCATTCGTCCGGAGTTTTAATGCACAGAGAATAAATCAGTGATAAAGAACAGATTGAGAGAGAGTATGAGCAAGCGATAGAATACATCTGGTTTACTTCATATCTTTTCACCTTCAAATTTGTATGAATTCACATTCGGTCGGTGGGACATTATTGGATAAATAAAGTGGGACAGTTAGCACAGCTAGTGAATGTGCATGTCTATCCAACTTATCCTAACGAGTGAAAGTGACTACCCCCAATATCACCATTCCGCTTACAGATTAGCTCATTCGAGAAACGTACACCGAATAAGTGAACTGGCAACGTGAATTATTCCCATAAATTCCAACCATGGCCCTGTCGTTAACAAGCACGTTTATCTGTCCGGGATGTGAGCTACTCAATGATAGATCTTGCTTACTAATATTCAAAAATTTGATGTAACACATATCAGTTGATTTTTGTGCAATTTAATCATTTTATGCCATTCTCTAGGTATACGTTGATGAATTCCTTCCACTGAATAACATAGTATAATGGAAGTAAATGGATGTTCCTCGACATGTCTATTACAAATGTCGAATGGTGAAAAATAACGTTTCCCGGAAGCATTTTCATTCTCTCTGCATTTTTCCATGTACTCGATCTCCATTTAGTATTGAATCAACGTCAATTTATCATAATACCGATGGAAAGCTCATAATTATACCGTCAGAATAAACGGTCAAGCGGTCAGACGTTTCTTATACTATTTCAGAACGACTCAGTAACCGGATACACGTAGAATTACTCTAGATTGTGGTAACAAAAGTAGTTATATTTAACTGGTCGGCAAGTGGGATAACTCCACAGTCTCAAAGATACAAGTTCGAAATGGGTGTGTGAATCACATGATAAAATATATCCAAGATGAGAATTTACAAAGTGAATAAGAAAAACCGTGAAGTTGTTGAAATGTTTTGAGGATTGGTGTATACAGTTAGCGGCCAGATGTACACAAGTAAACTAGATTTCGAACCTTTGGTAACAGCCACAATTTTTTTTCGTTCGACTTATGATTAAGGAAACCTAGCTTCACGGGAATTGATAGGTAGATCATGAGGAAAAGTTCACTTGTTCTTCATATAACAAGATTGTTCGAATTGAGCATCACCAGAGCAACTACCACTAGTTGATGTTCGTGCTTTTCTGCAATCCGGGTTAGGAGGAAGTGTGTTATTTGAAAAAAGAAATGTATAAAAACCTCCGGCTCGGACGGGTTTTCTCTATTAGCTCTTAATTATCACGACTCAACCTCAGTCTTGTTGTACATAATCCTCGTGGATTCAATACGGAACGTAGAACGATTTGCAAGTGATTAGCATGATTCGACCAGTTTACCGCTTCGTAAACAATAACGGATCCGATGGTGAAAACAACCCGGGCGATTAGTTTGATCAATAGAGTCTGAGAGCTTCTTGCCTACGGGATAATGGTGCTCGATTGAGAACCAGAAAGGAATTCGTGCCGAATAAATATTGCATCATGCGTTCACCTATCTCATAAACTAGTACAACATATCTTCCCTAATCTAAATGCAATCTTTTAACTATTCAATTGAACTAGTTTCTGACGCTGTTTCTTCCTGAATGATTTTTCGGATAAGTTAACTTATCCGTTCCTAATTCGCTTTGTGCGAATAGCCAAATATCCGTTTTGCCTTTGCGGCTCTTCCTCGATCCAGGTCATCGTGGAAGCCCTTTCGGTCCGAATTGCATTATCTTTCTGTCTGATTTTTATCATTAAATACTTATGATTCTGGAAACGGCTTTATGCTCAGACAAGATTAGCGCCAATAACTTGCTCTCAGACGGAGCTAATCGGGCACACTGATGTATGGTATTTCAACTAGGCATCATGCTTTCTTGAACCGTTTACGTGTTATTTTAGCTGCTGTCTATGCTCGATATGCGTTTAAAACTTCCCATACTCACTCAAGGCAGAGGAATCAATCGGTAGGTGCACTTCACTTAGTGGACTCAGTACCGGCGGAATATAAGCACGTAGAACGCGTTTCGGTTAACCCTGGACAACTTCCTGCATCTATGGCTTCGCCGTAACATACGGTTAGTTGTCAGTGAGGGAATGGGTGTGTGTGTGGTCGTTTGTTCCGTATGATACAGAGGCATGGTTGACGCCTGAGCGGGATCGAGGCCGACCTTTGGTAATCAGACAAAAACTGAATAGAGTTTTAGACGAACGCGATCAAGCGCTGAGGCCGGAGCTTGATCTTTCCTGGTCAAGTTGCCTTGGACACATAATGCCTTCTTCACTTTAAACAGATCTCCTCGGCGCACAATGCTTTCTCATGCAGGTTCTTGGTCAAATCAAGTTTCATGTGGTCAAATTAAACAGCAGCATAGAGATGTGAGAAATCAGAGCAAATCGCTCAGGCAAATCTGTCCTACTTGGTCTTCTGGTTTGGCGAATACAGGCTCAAACTAATCGATGCTCAAGTATACTACGCGAACTGGTTGATTGTTTCAAACAGTGGAGCTCGTGCATTCATTCAAATAGAAGCTTTATTTTAATTGCATTCTGTATTTTTACCCGGAGGCAGTGTAACAAATAGAAGAGAAAAGAAAACCATTTGAGTGAAAGTCCTACTTTAATGATTGCACGAACAGTTGCCTGGATTTATTCTCACAGATAATAAAAATGTACTGACTAAAATTCAGGTTCCATCAGTCATTCAATATAATCATTCAATTACAGTTTGTTCAGATAGTATCATTCATGAATTTAATTACATCCAGCTAAGCGAAACTTGTTTCAAGCTTCTCTTCACCTGAATTGCAATTACCCCTTAGGAGTTCAATTTTTTGCAAAAGCACTCCCGTGGGAAATTGACTACTCGGGTATAGTTTTATTTGCTCAATTTCCGACAAAAACCTATGACATAGGAAGTAGAATATTAGGAAGAATGATTGTGGCTCGAAAACCGGATATTGGTTTTGGTATGTTGTCCGAACTGGAAGTGTTTTCTTTTTTTCGTAGGCGTTTCGTGAAACCCCCTTCTGGATAGGAAAAATCTGTGAACAAAACTTCCGGTTCAATACCAACACATGAGAAGTGTTGCTTTGCAAGTCACAAGTAATGGCGGAGGGGAGCTGGCATAGGGTGGGGGCGAAACATGATATAGAAACGGAAACCACGTGACACTTACCGCAATCTGTTTCACACTAACATTCAGTGTACTGTATGCATGTATAAACAGTTCACGTGTGGCATTCATGCACTGAATCCTTATTTTGGCCGATCCATTGAAAAAGAAATCGGACGGATCCCCAGTGTTCAGATGTACTTGTAATCGCAAATTGTAGAAACGTGGAAGCACAGTATAAGGTAATCGAACGTTTTTCGACTGTGTCCGTCGTAATTCCGCTTGCATTCGGTCAGGGAATAGAACATCGTCAAATTTGTTATCACCTTTTTACGAGCAGGGAAAAATAAGCGAAGAACAGTTCTGGTCAATTTGAGCTGTGTGTGTGTGTGATCTTTTGGCCTCATTTTGAACAAATCTTATCCAACAAGTCAAAACACTGGTGATTCATATAACCGTGAGGAAATTCAATTAGTACTTTGGACAGAATGTGTGAAACCGATTGATGTGTTTGGTAAAGTGATCGATCGAACATGATACAAAATTCATCTGTCATGAACAATTCTCAGTCTCAGATGATTTCAACATTTTGATTGTATTTCAAGAATTATCTACTCAAACTCCTGTGGTACTGTTTAGAAAATACATTTTACGAGAATAGCAAGCACATTATGCCCGTATTAGGGCTGAGCAAAACAATGTGCATGACGAATACGAACGAGAGATGACTGGATAAGGAAATCGTGAACTGTATTCTCGTGTATTGTGAACCAAATATCCACAGCCGAGAGCATAGTCCACAAGTGATATAAGGCTCGCTAATCCCGGGGTGTAAGAATGAAACTGAGTCAATGCCACTGGAGGACAACGATTTTCTACAACTACGAATGTGATTTAAAGCAGCAGCAGCAGCAGCAGCAGCAGCAGCAGCAGCAGCAGCAGCAGCAGCAGCAGCAGCAGATTCCTTGTGACGTGTCTTTGGCCTATCAGAAGCACTGTGTACCCAAATGTCAAGTGCCTGATGCGTGGAATCCGATACGAGTTATAAACAGCTACAGTGGAAACCCTCATTGAACTGGTCGAATGATTACCCGATTCGGGATGTTCGAGCTATTTTACTAAATGCTTTAAGCGCATGGAGAATGATTGTTCAGAAAAAATGTATTGCTTATTTTTATGTGTCAAAAATGACACGTGTATTCGTCTCAAAACAACCCGGAAACGTATTCAGAAAGTCACTGTGATTTCAGGTGTGTGACAGGTTTCATGAAACATTTCAAGGGATTTCCCGATCGTACCAGACCAGGAGTTTAGCCTCACTTTTAGATGGTATGTTTTCATTCCCGTGCACTAAGCCACTTTTTTCGGAATAAAAAAACGTTTCCGATTGTGAAAATCTCTGTTGGATTCCCACGATTTAGCTAGTCACCAGCGTCAGCTCCTCACACAGCTATTTCGGCACATGTCTCATGGTTTGTATAAATAGACACACCTTCTGAGGCAGAATTCTGTATGGAGATCCAAGCCTTGGAACGTCACAAAGCGCCGGGCTACGACAGCCTTTCGCCTGCTCTATTTAAAGATGGTTGAATAGCGCTTGTTAGAGAACTAGCAGTTCTGCTATCTAAAGTTCGGAGCATTGAGCAGGTCCCCTTTCATGGGGAGAATCGATTGTCGTCCCCATGATCAAAAAGGGCCCGCGCAATTACTGCACCAATCACAAGGGTATAAGCCTTATCCCAATAGCGTTAAAGCTGTTGGTGCTGTCATTCTGCGCCGACTGTACACTGTGCGTGAGGAGCGGACCCACGAGGAGCAGACTGGGTTTCGTGTCGGTCGTGGATGCAT